ACAGTCTTTGGTTTAAAATCTAATTTGTCTGATATAAGGATTGCCACCCCAGCTTTCTTTTGGTGTCCATTAGCATGGTAAATGGTTTTCCACCCCCTCACTTTCAATCTGGGGGTGTCTTTGGTTCTAAAATGAGTCTCTTGCAGACAGCATATCGATGGGTCTTGTTTTTTAATCCAGTCTGTTAGTCTGTGTCTTTTGATTGGGGCATTGAGCCCATTTACATTCAGGGTAACTATTGAAAGATAGGAATTTAGTACCATTGTATTGCCTGTAAGGTGACTGTTACCGTATATTGTCTGTGTTCCTTTCTGGTCTATGTTGCTTTTAGGTTCTCTCTTTGCTTAGAGGACCCCTTTCAAGATTTCCTGTAGGCTGGTTTTGTGTTTGCAAATTCCTTTAGTTTTTGTTTGTCCTGGAAGCTTTTTATCTCTCCTTCAATTTTCAATGACAGCCTAGCTGGATATAGTATTCTTGGCTGCATATTTTTCTCATTTAGTGCTCTGAATATATCCTGCCAGTCCTTTCTGGCCTGCCAGGTCTCTGTGGATAGGTCTGTTGCCAATCTAATGTTTCTACCCTTGTAGGTTACATATCTCTTATCCCGAGCTGCTTTCAGGATTTTCTCTTTGTCTATGAGAGTCGTAAGTTTTACTATTAGATGTCGGGGTGTTGACCTATTTTTACTGATTTTGAGAGGGGTTCTCTGTGCTTCCTGGATTTTCATGCCTGTTTCTTTCCCCAAATTAGGGAAGTTCTCTGCTATAATTTGCTCCATTATACCTTCTGTCCCTCTCTCTCTTTCTTCTTCTTCTGGGATCCCAATTATTCTAATGTTGTTTCGTCTTATGGTATCGCTTATCTCTCGAATTCTGCCCTCATGATCCAGTAGTTGTTTATCTCTCTTTTTCTCAGCTTCTTTATTTTCCATCATTTCATCTTCTATATTACTGATTCTCTCTTCTGCCTCATTTATTCTGGCAGTTAGCGCCCCCATTTTTGATTGCACCTCATTAATAGCCTTTTTGATTTCTACTTGGTTGGATTTTAGCTCTTTTACTTCTCCAGAAAGGGTTTCTCTAATAACTTCCATATTTTTTCCAAGCCCAGCTAGTATCTTTAAAGTGATGATTCTGAACTCTAGATCTGACATCGTACTAATGTCCGTATTGAGTAGGTCCCTGGCAGTCGGTACTACCTCTTGTTCTTTTTGTTGAGGTGATTTTTTCCGTCTTGTCATTTTGTGCAGAGGAGAATAGATGAATGAGAGAACAAAATGCTAGCAGAGTAACCACGTCCCCAGAAAATATACTCTAAACAAATCAGAAAAGACCTGAAGCAGTGGGATAAGAAAGGGAAAGAGATAAAAAAGAAAAAGAAGAAACAGAAAAAGAGAAAAACAAAGACAAACAAAACAAAACAACAACAACAACAAAAAAACCAGAATGTGATCAAATATGATCAGGCTGGTATATAGATCAGTGCCACACACTAGATTTGGGGTGTATTTTGGTCTTTTAGAAGAAAGTGCCTCCCAAAATTTTAAAGAAAGAAAAACTTATATATGTACAAATATAAGGGTTGATATGATGAAGGGATGGAATATGACTGTAAAGATGGAAATTATAAATATTTTATAAAAGGAATTGATAAGAAGTTGTTTGAAAAAAAAAGAAGAGGATTTAAAAAAAGAAAAAAGATAAAGAAAAAAAAAGGGAGAGGATGTGATCAGGCAGGGGAATAGAAAACACCATACACTAGAGATTTAGGGTATATTTTAATCTGTTAGAAGAAACTATCTCAAAATTTTAAAGAGAGAACAACTTATATATATAAGCCAAAAATATGGGTAACTACTAGGAAGGGATAGAATATGACTCTAAAAATGAAAAATAAAAATGTTTTTTTTAAAAAAAGGGATTGATAAGATGTTGGTTGTAAAAGGGAAAAAGAAAAATTCAAAAAGAAATAAAAAGACAAAAAGACAGTTAAAAAAAATTTAACTTTAAAAGACTAAAGAATCATGGTAAAAAAGCCGTGAATTCTATGTGCAGTAGTCCCCTAGCGCTGGAGTTCTGCCGTTCTCATTGATCGGTAAACTTGGTCTTGGCGGGCTGTTCTCGCTGATCTTCTGGGGAGGGGCCTGTTGCCGTGGTTCCCAAATGTCTCTGCCGGAGGCGGAAGTGCCCCGCCCTTGCCCCCTCCCGGCTAAGTCATCTGCTCGGGTTTGCTCTCCGGGGCTTTTGTTCCCTGCGAGCTTTCCGTACAGCTTTGGAGGCGGAGAGTGAAAATGGCGGCCTCCCAATCTCCGCCCCGGAGGAGCCGAGAACTCAGGGCCCCGCTCCTCCGTGAGCCCTCAGAGAAAAGCCGTCAGTCACTCCCGTCTCCTCGGTCTCCGGCCGCACCCCGTGCTCTCCCGGCCTGTGACCGCGCGTTTCTATCTCCGGCACCCGACCCCGGGTGGAGTCTCCAAACCCAGCAGATCCCCGCAGTGCGCTCCCGCGCGGCTCCTCCCGGGGGAGGAAGGTGAGTCTCCCCGGATCTGCCGCTTGTTGGGTCCCTGCTGGAGGAGCAGGGGCCCGACTGTGCCGCGGATCACAGTCAATGGCGACCCCGAGCTGAGAGCCCGCGCCTGGGCTCCGCCTCTGCCGCCGGCTTCCCTGCTCCGTTACCTGGGAGCTCTGCCACACTCAGGCACCCCCGGTCTTTCTGTGACCACACTGTCCCGGAGGGTTCCACCCCCCGCTTAGCCACCGGAGTGACGTCCCTCAGCGGGGCAGACTTTTAAAAGTTCCGATTTTGTGCTCCGCGGCTCTATCACTTGCCAGAAGCGGCCGACGGAGGCCCCTCCCCCGCCGTCTATCCTCCCGAATATCGCCTCGGATTCACTTCTCGGCACGTCCTACCTTCCAGAAAGTGGTCGCTTTTCTCATGAGAGAGTTGTTGCTCTTCTTTTCTTCGATCTCCTGTTGGGTTTGTAGGTGTTCAGAATGGTTTGATCCCTATCCAGCTGAATTCCTGAGAGGAGACGAAATCCAGGTCTCCTACTCTTCCGCCATCTTGCTCCGCCCCCCACTATAGTTTTATAATATGGTTTGGAATCAGGGAATGTGATGCCTCCAACTTTGTTCTTCTTTCTTAAAGATTGCTTTGGCTATTTGGAGTCTTTTATGGTTCCATACAAATTTTAGGATTGTTTATTTTTCTGTGAAAAATGTCATTGGAATTTTGATCGTGATTGCATTGAACCTGTAGATTGCTTTGAGTAGTACGGACATTTGACAATATTAATTCTTTTAATCCATGAGCATGAAAAACCTTTTCATTTACTTGTGCCTTATTCAGTTTCTTTCATGAATTCCTTATAGTTCTTAGTGTGCAGGTGTTTCGCCTCCTTAGTTAAGTTTTGATATAATTGTAAATGAGATAGTTAAAAAATAGGAAATTTAAAACTCAGAAATGAAACAAAAATTACTGGTGACAACAATAAATGAATTTCCTGTCAAATTGACATAGGAATGACTTTGTGTCAAAGGGTCACTCTTTTTACTGATTTGAAAAAGGATTCTGTACAATCAGCTATTTCACTTTTCTCGTTGATTTTGCTTATTTATCTTTTACTAACTTGACTGATTCTTTGGTTAAATCAGTCTAATTTAGCTTCTCCCCAGCCCTTGCCCCATCACCTGACAATTAGCCTGCAAGCTCCCTGCTTTGTTCACAAACTCCTTTTTCTCAGGAGAATGGCATCTGTTACTATGAAATAATGCATGTCTTTCTCTTCCATGATTGGCACTGATGATCTTTCTGTGCATTAGGAATTTATTAACTGTGAAAATCATAGATATAATCTGTTGAATTGGCAGGGATAGTGGATATCTTACAAGTTTCAAATGGAATTCACACATTTTGAAAGTTAGATGAGGTTAATTCATAATGGTGTCAGCACGCCTGACTTAATCATTGCTGGTAAAACACAAACAAGTTCAAAAGAAGTTTCTTCAAAGGAAAGTCTAAGTATTGGATAAATGTGCATTCATGCCATTTGCTGATAATTTTGTGTGCTTACATTTAGGATTCACAAAGGTCCCGTAAGCCTTACTCTTCGTTTATGCCTAAAATGCTAAGTAGACCCATCTGCAGATTTGAGACATCTGAATATATGATGAAAAAGTGCATGTTTGGGCCAGGCTGAACAGCCGTCATTTTTTATTTGATCAAATTTGAGCTACAGATCTTAGATCACACATGGGACACAGCCTTTGGCTACTCTGAATGGAATGTATTTCAGATGCTGCAGTTGATTTACGAGAATAAGGTGTCTGAGACACTGTTCCTTTAGCATCCCATTAACTATCTTATAGCAAATGCATGTTGGGCTTAAGTACCCCTCTTTGAATAAAAGAGAACTGTTTTTTGGTAGATAATACGGATAAGGTCCACATTCGGAGTATTAGAGCATCTAGCTCAATATCATCTTTATAGAAGTTTATCAAGTACAGACCATTGTACTTACTTTGTTGGTATTAAAATGTCTTAATGTTATATGATCAGCTCTGTGGATCAATTCATGATAGAATTTCTCTTAAAAGATGAAGTAAACTCCTCTTCTGGAACTATCCACTAAATTGGTTATATTTTATACAAATTAAAACGTGTGAAGCATTAAAAGACACTAAAGTTTTATTCAGTTCAGCTCAAAGAAAGTGATTCAATGTTTAGAGTTAGGTCTTATGAATTCTTATTTAAAAAAAAACAGTTGCAAATAGTTAATATATTCATGAAAGGGTAAAAATTGCAATGCAGTGATAGAGTTTTAAAAGTCAATCTATTAGATAATATTTGACTCTTAGGTAACAATATCATATCATGAATTTCCTCTCTCTTTAATAATGTAAAATGAATCTTTCCCCCATAGCATCTGTTCTAAATCAGTCTATTTTCCCATTGCTTTTAAAATAAGGTCAAGGTTAATCTTCTATTCCATGTTTGCGTTCCAGGCATTAGTCATGAAACTGCTGATGAAAAGGTGATTTTTGGCATTGAATTTAATTCAACCTTTCTGGAATGTATACCTAAATCCCAACAAGCATCTATTAAGTGGTATATCCAGCGGTCAGGAGATGAGCATCGAGAGGAGGTGAGTTATAGTCATCAAAGAATGACCACCTTGAGGGAGTGTTAAAGTTAAATCAAGTTTTGGTTGAGAGAGATGTCCAATGTTCAGTGCCATACAGTGCTCTCATCACTATTTGATAAAAAGGAAAATAACAGTTACTCGCTAACATGAAACTTAATGCATTTGAGATAAAAATAGGACAACTTATTACAAATACATTAATAAAGTATATTTAAAAGCAGATTGAATTTTTATAAGAAATTTACATAATGTTTTTCAAATTTTCATTCTCATAGATTATCTATATTTTAGAACAATTCCCTGATTAAAAATAAGAACACAGTATTTTCCCCCACAGTAGGATAAGGACTAAATTTTAACTCATATTGTGTTTAACTTATATCATAAAGCAGATTGAATACATATATCAACAGAAAGATCTATCTTTATCATATAATATGAACAAGTTGGATAACTAGCTGGCCATGTACCTTTTCACTCTTATGTATTAAAATTAAATCAACAGAGGGAAAAGTAACGTGGATGTTCCCTTTATCTTTTGACTTTTTCTGTTTCAGTCTTTCTAGGACATACATAGGGGTTGAAACAATCACAGAAATTTTGTGAGGTAGATAGGTTAAGTATGTTACTGAACTTAATGGGACAATTTTGGGTAGCCTGAGAAATCCTGTATTTATTATTTGAGTGCCATGAAACAAAGGGTAATTGGCAGGGTTTTTATTTTTCTCTTTCAGTGCCTAAGAGAAACCAGCTAAACTCAGTATAGAGTTCTAATATTCCCAATATTAAACTGAGGACACTGTAACGAGTAATCCAATGAACTCAGGATTCGGAATTAGATGTTCAATTGAATCCCTGTCCTAGGTCCTTTGATAATATCACTGAGTCTGCATGGGCCAGAATTTTCTAACGTGAACAAAATAAATACAAAAGTTACTATGAAAATAAAATGAGAAAATACAGGAGAATGTGAATTTCAAAGCAGAGGATTATTCACAAATGTAAAATATGTATATAAAATTGCAGATACTCTCTATCAGGAAGATGTGTGAAATACGAATTAGCACTGATCACATGTTCAGTTGATGTCTGAGGATTTATGAGCAGGTTGTAACTTCTCTAACACTCAGTTTCTCTGTCATATAAACAGGCCGACCGAATGCTCTAAAATACAACCTCCTTGATAAGTCTATAAACATTTAAAGGATACCTGGGTGGCTCAGCCAGTTAAGTGTCTTCCTTCAGTTCAGGTCGTGATCTTGGGGTCCTGGGATGGAGCGCCGCTTTAGGCTCCCTGCTCAGCGGGGAATCTGCTTTTCCCTCTCCCTCTGTTCCTCCCCTGCCATCCCCACTCATGCTCTCGCTCTCTGTCTTTCTTCTCTTGAATAAACAAATAAAATATTAAAAAAAAAAAAATCTATGCAAGCAGTCAGACATTAGTATAAAATAGTGGTTTTCAACTGTAGGAGATTTTGCTGCTACACTGTCCACATCTGGCAATATCTAGAGACATTCTTGGTTATCAGAGCTGGGGTGGGGGGAGGCGGAGGGTGCTCTTGGCATCTCGTGGGTAGAGGTCAGGGATGATGCTAAACATTCTTCAGTTCACAATCCCTCACAATAAAGAATTCTCTTGCCCCAAATCAGTAGTGCTGAGTTTGAGAAGCCTTGCAGTAGAAGGACCAAATTTTATCATAAGAAATTGATGTAAAGATGTGTTCCACCATTACATTAAGGTGGTAAGATCTTTCTTTTCATCTGAAATCTTTGAGAACAATTTTTTTAATTAAAATATTGACTCCTGGGGCGCCTGGGTGGCTCAGTCGTTAAGCATCTGCCTTCGGCTCAAGTCATGATCCCAGGGTCCTGGGATCGAGCCCCGCATCCGGCTCCCTGCTCAGCGGGAAACCTGCTTCTCCCTCTCCCACTCTGCCTGCTTGTGTTCCCTCTCTCGCTTTGTCTCTCTCTGTCAAATAAATAAATAAAGTCTTTTTAAAAATAATAATAATAAAATAAAATATTGACTCTTTACATAGTTAATACCAAGGGAATACTCCAATGTTTGTTATGTCAGATTTCTCCAATAAAACTTGATTCTTCATCATTACTGACATCCATAAATTCTAAGATTATGGCATATCCATATTTATGCTAAATATGGATTTATTTTACGGGCCCCTTTTCCCCCAGTGTATATTAAAGTATTATCTGACCTGGAAGTAATTATGTAACTTTGAAACATAAAGCATTAACCTTTTATCAAAGAAATACAGGAGGAATGTTTTCTGAATTTTTTTAACATGCAAATATTTAGTTACATTGCAATATTTACTTTTATTTTTTTATTTATTATTTATTTTTTTTAAGATTTTATTTATTTATTTGACAGAGAGAGACACAGCGAGAGAGGGAACACAAGCAGGGGGAGTGGGAGAGGGAGAAGCAGGCTTCCCGCGGAGCAAGGAGCCCGATGCGGGGCTTGATCCCAGGACCCTGGGATCATGACCTGAGCCGAAGGCAGACACTTAACGACTGAGCCACCCAGGCGCCCCTGCAATATTTACTTTTAAACGTCCCAAACTAGTATTTTAATTTTATAGTTAATAAATTTTGATAACCTCTCCTCAGCTAAACATTATTCTTTAATAATTATGTTTCTTCCATGGCAAATTTAATGACTTTTAAAAAAAATAAGGTACTCTGCTTGGGGTAATCTCTTACCCCAAGTTATAGGTATATACATTTGCCTATTCATGTTTGCGTTCACATCTTTTATCTTCCTGAAAAGGCAATGAATTACTTTAATGTACCTTTTAAGAGTGTATCACCTAGTCATGGTGGTACCATGCTCCATGAATTTTAATGGAGCAGAAATAGTGTATTTTACTTCAGAGCATCCTAGCTATAATATTCCAACTGGTATTTTCATCTACCTTTGTAAGTAGGTAGTTACACATTGTCCAGGATATGTGATCCTGCTTCCTGAGCTGAGGAAAGGGGCAAGATCCAGACTAGATTTGAAGGACTTTTCCCAGCAGGCTACCTTCTGCTCCTTACCAAGAAGGTCACAGTTTGGAATCTTGCCCCCACTAAAAAAAAAGCCTGTGAGAGGGACTAGAATCTCCTGTGGCACAGAGCCTGTCACCAGCTTATTCTCTGCCAGGAGGAGAACATTTCCTTACTGAGCTGTTTCACAGTTGGGTGCTATTGGAGAGGTCATGAGTCACTTATCTGCTGACTTCCTTATAAAGCTATTCTTGAAATTGATGGTGTTTGTGCTGTAAGTAGCGAGTTAATCGGCAGTCCCTGAGCTTCTGTTGTACTTTGGGGGTCTGAATGACTAGAAGAGTCAATACCTTATGCCATTGTGGTAGTATTTGTGTGTGTGTGTGGCTTTTAACAATTATTTTTAAAACATCTTCAAATATTTGTATTTTTCTCTCTGTAGGTCCTTGTTTTATTGTTGTTCTTTCTATTATAAAGGCAATATAAATAGTTTTGAAAATATAGTGACACGTAAAGGATTATGAGGCCTCCAATGATGTCTATTCCAGTTTTTTTCCCACTAACCATTACACTGTGAGCATTTTCCTTATCATTCAATTGTAATACCATATTTTTCCTGTCTCTTACACTCGCTACCCTGATGCCACAGTCATCCATGATTATTCCATGTTATTTAAATAACAGGTTTCCTCTTAAAAAAAAGTAGTCAACTTCTTGATATCTAAATCTTCCTCTGCTTTCCTATATGCTTTCTTAGGATAAATCTTTTGAGGTAAAATAACTGAGTGAAAGGCTTTAATTATCTTTATGGCTTTTGATAAACAACTGTATGTTGCTAATTTCTCATCAAAATCACCACATTAGTATTTTTTCTGAACTCCTGAGGCAAAATGGTGTATTACAATTTAAGAACATCCTTACTAGTTTGATATGAAAAATGTCATATTATGCAAACATGTAAATATTTTTTTTTAAGATCTATTTATTTATTTGAGCAGGGGGAGGGGAGGGGCAGAGGTAGAGAGAGTGTCTTAAGCAGACTCCGTGCTGAGTGCGGGGCCGACACAGGGCTCCATCTCACAACTCTCAGCTCATGACCTGACCCGGAACAAGAGTTGGATGCTTAACCAACTGTGCCACCCAAGTGCCCCTGTAAATATCTATCTCTTTGAAAATTAGTGGATGTGAATTTACCTTGTCATGTTTCTTGGCTGTTGATTTCAGTTGTGTTTAGTGAAGTGCTTTACCCATCGTTTGCTTAGTTTACATTGAAGTATTCATTTAAAAATGATTTTCACAAGCCTTTTATATATTATCGATGTCAACAATGTAATGTTATACATATTAGAAGTGACTTATTATGTTTTATGTCTCTAAATTTTTTTGTTCCTCACAAAAAAGAGTTTTATATTTTATATAGACAAATCTATAGATTTATATCCCCATGATTTCTCACTTATTATGCTTAGAAACTCCTTCCCTGATGAAACAGAAAATGTGTATTTTTCTAGTTACTTTATGATGTTATTATTACCATTGCAGTTTACATTTTCTCTTTACACTTACTTGAGGATACCAAATTAATCTAGGGGTTAAATATGTATATATTCAATTTTTCTTTTCTTTTAAATAAGGAGTTGCCTCTGCACTACTTTTAAATAAGTCTTCCTTCTATGTTTGTTGCAGAGAAGAGATATTCTTGAAGGCCTAGTCACCTCCAAGACACATGCAATGCTTTAGCTATGAGGGAACTGACAGGTGAATTATCTGCAAAGGAATTACCATTAGGCTGCTATTATCGGAGAGCAGAGTCCCCGACCTTTACCTGCTGCTTAGTACCTAAATGTCCTTTGTCCCTCTCCACGTTACTCTTTTCATTTTAAATGAATTGCCCTTCACTGAAGATCTACATTTAATAATGCCAAATATGTTATCCTTGTTCACATTAGGCACATGAATAGTCAACCCCAGTTCAAGCATGGTTTTGATTTAGCTGAGTGGTTTTTACTTATCACTTTTAGAGTGGAGAAAATTCCATGAGTTTAAATCAGTGGCCAGAGATTACATTATCTCTTTGTAAAGGAGCTGAATTTTCTAAATGGACTGTGCTGAGATGTCACTGTCCAGATACAGTCTGCGTAATGCATCCTCTTCCAGCATGGAATGAAAGCAGCACAGAGAATGGGAATGTAAAGTAGGCCAACATTAATCAGTGCTTAATTTGGGTGGTGCAGATTCCTGTCTCTAAATCGCAAAAATAAAAATCCTAGGAAAATATGTCAATCCCAACTGTATTTTATTAGAGATATGATTTCAGTCAACACCTGTTTTTGAAGATTCAGAAACAAAAAACACTGAAGTGATCAAATAAACATTAGATAAATCCAGAAAGAAATTTATTAAAGCAAGTTTTATATCTATGGGTCCAAAGACAAAGAAAAACTAAGCGTTCCACGGAAGAAAGGAAAAGGGAAGGACCGCAGGGGAGTAAGGAGATGCTAGGTGTTTATGAAACTCTGAGTCCTATAGTGATGGACATAGTCTGGGAAGGTGGGAAGGGGAGCCGGACTTCAGAGTAAAACAGATAAACAGGATACAGAAAGAGAATAGCAAAGATAATGATGAAGTGTTACATAATGTGTGCGAAATCAAAGTCATAATTTCTTCCTGTCAGGAGATTAAAGAAAACAATAAAAAGTAGTGAGTCAGAGCTGTGACAATCTCTAAAAGCCACATGAAGTGCAGTTTAAGCATTAGCAAGAGTCCCAGTGATGGAAAGGAAATCTAGAGATGAACTGGAACTGAAGTCACCCACTTTGATTGTCATGCTGATAACCACGCGTGATTTTCTACTAGAAGACTTACAAAAATAAAGGCTTCAATGAATCATGGAACACTACATCAAAAACTAATGATGTAATGTATGGTGATTAACATAACATAATAAAATAAAATTTAAAAAATAAAATAAAAAATAAAGAACTGAAAAAAATAAAGAAAGAAAAAATAAAGGCTTCAGAACATCACCTCTCCAGCTCTCCTGTAACACGGCAGTAGTCTATAATGTTGCTAATAATACTTCACACTTTAACCTTCAAAGAGCTTTACTTTTAACCCCCCAAATACACCATATGCTATGTCACCAACTTGATAAATGGAAGACCAATCAGGGAAGATAAATGAGTAATCATAGGAAGCAGAGTCTGCCGATAAAGACCAGATCCTCGTCTGTGGAGTCAGAGTTTTGTGATCTAAGATGTGTTTAAAATTTAAAGAATAATTCATACAATAAAATTATTTAAAGGAAAAGGTATATGTAGTGTGTTAAATTTGAGTTTGATATTTCTGTTTAAGATTGGCCCTTGAGAATCCTACCAATTCAAGTTCACATTTATTTTAGGCATGAGGGTCCCCAAATCTCTGAGAATGTAAGTGAATTCAACATTAGCGTGTTATTACAACAGGATTTTAAAATGCTTGGGCCTTTAGAATAAATCCATTCTAAAAAAAAAAAAAAAAAATAGTACACACCCAAATCACCAAATGGGGAAAGTTAAGGGAAACAAACAAACAAAACCCCGATGGTGTGGATTCAGCCTAGGAGGAAGGCAGGCTGGAGACCATTCAGCCTCATTAACCAAGGATCTGCGCTGTGACCTGCCTTTGGCCTTGAGTGGTACCCCACCAGCTGCATTTCTCTGGCATAGAGGGTGGTTAGTTAACTGGGCCGGTAGCCAGAGATGTTTCTTTTCCTTTTCTCATATTTCCAGAATTGGAGGGATTTTTTCCTACATATTTTTCACATAAAGATGCGGAGTTGAGTCCACCCACTGTGAATAAATTGAATTTAGCTGTCTTTATGCCTCCTTGATTTCCATTGACTGAAAGTCTACAATACAGGGGCAGATGTGTAAACTGGGAAATCTTCCAGACTTCTTTGTTGTTGTTGTTGTTATTCTACTTAATGCCAAGACACTCAACAATATCCCACATGAAACAGGGCTCTGGTGTGGCTAAACAGGCCTCCAGCTTTATGGAAGATAGGTTTGCTCTTCACATCAGCCTGTGGGCCAGGCAAGCTCAAATGTTTGAATTGTCTTTCAGTACTCTTGCTTCAAAGGGTAAAGAGCATCACATTTCAAGAGAGGTTCTTTTTGTTCATTGAGTTTTCTCACACTTGAAATCACATTACTACGTTATAGTATACCAAGGTATGGCAAATATTTCCACAAATGTCATAATCTCAAGTATCACATGTACACACAGTATCAACATTCAATCCATAGTAAAAAGGGAAATTCAGCTTTAAATGTTGCTAACCTTCTGACTATGGTCCTACTCAGTTACAGCTCAAACATCCAGAAAGCTGTATCCATGCTTTTCCATTAGACTTTTAACAAGTCACCACTTACAGTCTCCATATGTTATTCAGCTTACTGGGTGATATCCAGAAAAGAGAGTAAATTCCTTTTGCAATTGTAGTTCTATTTCTCCATTACAGGTAGTAGTATGCCCTAAAAGCTCTTTTTCTGCACAAAGGCTGTCCATGTCCAGTTCTAGCTCTGAAATTTAAATACCAATTGGTGTTCTTAGTGTACTACTTGGTATCTGAAATCTCTGTAAAGACAGTTAGTTGATAATTTCCGGTTTTACTTCAGTGGTTTTTCTAGCTTTTCATTCCTATCTGTAGACTGGGAGAAAAATTAACTATATTCCAAAGGTTTAGTTAGATAATAATGAGAGGCAAACATGCATGTTTGGGGGCTGTTACTTTAATGGAATTTTTTTTTTTTTTTTACTCTCTTCATCTATGGCTGATAATATTGTGCTCAATGACAGAGATGGGGATTGATCTCTTAGGTTCATCTAAGTAAAACTGTGTGGCCTCTGTTCCTTTGCTCACGGCCCTCTCTGTTTTTCATTTATTACCTACATTTTTCCAATTCTGCAGTTGAAACCTGATGAAAGGATCATCAAAACAGAGTACGGGCTACTGATTCGAAGTCTGCAGAAGAAGGACGCTGGGATGTATTACTGCAAAGCACAGGAACACACTTTTATCCACACCATAGTGAAGCTGACTTTGAATGTCATTGAGAATGAACAGATGGAAAACACCCAGAGGGCAGAGCACGAGGAGGGGCAGGTCAAGGATCTGTTGGCAGAGTCACGGTTGAGATACAAAGACTACATCCAAATCCTTAGCAGCCCAAACTTCAGCCTCGACCAGTACTGCGAACAGATGTGGTACCGGGAGAAGCGGAGACAGCGAAACAAGGGCGGCCCCAAGTGGAAGCACATGCAGGAAATGAAGAAGAAACGAAATCGAAGACATCACAGAGACCTGGACGAGCTTCCTAGAGCCATGGACACGTAGCTGTCTGTTTAATTTAAAGAAAGGAATTCTTTACCTGCAAAAATACCGTCTTCTGTTTTGTACACCCCGTATACTAACTCATAAGAGCTTTCCATGGAGTTTTGCTAAGGCAAAGAACACAAGAACAGTGATCTGAATAAGACCATATATGGTCAATATGGCATAGTAAGGGCAAATAATTCAGCTGGACCAGTTTTCCAAGAACTAAACACGTACCTGCAAAGTATCAGAATTATCCTCAAAATCGGGGCTTTACATTTGTAAATGTTTGATGTGCTGAGTTTTTGAATTTATTATGTCATGTAAATAATTGAGCTGAGCGAGCATCAAATTTGATATTGCAATAAGGTGCTTTATTTCCCTTGTACGGCCATTAAGCATGGACTTGACCATGCAGTTGTGCTATATATGTGTTCTTAGGAACAGATACATCATTCCACTCTAGAACTGGCTACCTTGTGGTAGGAATTGTAGGGAAGACACAAATTCATACAGTTCACTCTATCAGCAGGAACTTTCCCAGGGAGCCCTTCACTCTTGGTGCAGGGTTTAGGAATTTGGAGAGGTGCGTTATTTCAGACCCCAGAGGTTACATTTGGTGTACTGCGGTGTGATATACTGAAGGATGTAAATGGTCCTCCCGGGATTCCTTATGCCTTGTCAAGAGTAACAGGTTCACAGAGAGAAGTTGGTGCTCGGTTATGTGTTTTTTAGATATATGCTGAGCTTTACAGGGACAGAACGTTTCATAAATATTTTAATAATATATGAGAAAACATTTTAATAAGGGAAACACCATGATGTATACTGTGTCCTAATGGGAATGCATGCAGATGGAATTTGTTAAGAGACAGAAAGAAAGAAAGCCATAAATTCTGGCTTTGGGGAAAACTCATATCCCCATAAAAAGGAAGAACGATCACAAATAAAGTGGGCAAAATGTTATGTAGCTTTATTCACTAAAGTATGAGTAGCTGCCAATTTGCAATCCATCTGTTAAAAAAATTCTACCTTATAACAAACTGCTAGTGAAGTCTGAGGAAAAGTAAATTTTCTAAAAGATCATGGGAAGAATGAACACAAATTTATTTACAACCAATGGGACTTCAGTAGTACTTCCTCTCTCTTTTTCTAAAATTTCATTATACTCTGTAAATTATTTCCATTTACTGCCTTTATTCTCTCCTGAATATTGGATTATTGGGTTTTATTTGAGTGAATAGGAAAATAACAATATATACATATAGAGAGAGATAGAATTAGGTAGACAACAGAGGTGGGGAGCGGGGATATATATTTGTTGAGTAATAGAACAAATGCAAAAATGTTGACAACGGAAAGGGTTAAATTAACTCTTTGACATCTTTTCTTCACACGGTATTTTTGCATTTCCCAAGATTGTATGCTGTAATTCAAGTAGCATTGTTTTAGTAATTTAACAATAAATAAGCCTAATGCATGTAAAGAAAGCAAACTCACAGCATTAACATAAACATTTTTCGTATTTTGTTAGCACTTTCAAATGTTTCCAATTTGACTTTCCCTCTGCAGACCTATGGTATGTTTCCTGCCTGTTGGAGCAGAACTCACCTTTCCATCTTGGAACACAAAACCCTTTGCCTTCTTCTGTTTTGCCTCTTCACGCCCTTTTTAGTGTGAAATGAAAAATTAGTCACTTCCTCACATGGAAGGCAGCCTTTCAGAAAACTGAATAGCAGACATTGCTCATCTAGCATGCATTCTGCATGTCTTGAAAGAAGAGCCTGTGAGAACCTGTGTGGTTAGAGGGTGCCTTATGAAGAGTTTCGGTATCATGTCTGTGACTGCCTTTATGTTGGGAACATTCAATCTTACGTTCATTTTCTTTGCCTTCCTTACCTATCTCAAAGTAGTCACACGGCTGTATGAGGTTAGGTACCCCTTTTGAAATGATACTCGTAAATATTTGTAGATGTTTCACTAGATGGGAAACTTGAAGGTTTTTGTTGTTGTTGTTTGTTTGTTTTGTTTTTTGTTTTTTAAAGTGAACCAGAAACAATCACTCTTAAAAAAGTAATGCAGAAGAATAGCTGTGGCAGCGGGGGGGGTGTGGGGGGATCAGGCTGCTAATTGAATATCATAAGGAGAGTGTTTGTAATTATTGACTTGCCAGGTTTAATTGTTCCAGGAACTCATGACAAGCTCAAAGTAAATAAATGGGAGCATGTTTCATTTTTAAGATTTCCTAAGATTTGTATGTCAAACTGTCATGATCAAAGTATAGGTAACTTTGGGAAAATTACATGAAGCTCAAATGTTAAGACTGATGTGTAATAAATTTGGTTTTCATCAAAATATGAATGTTCAAGCCATTTTTAAATTACTCCTTTCTAATCTTAATTATTTAGATAAAATTTTGGCAACTTTTTTTACTTTACAGCTAATATTTTGGCTGCTTTGGATCTAAAACATTAATTTATGATAATTGCTTAAATATATTTGAAATATTGAGTAAATATTTAGTAAAACAAAATGTCATGTAATAAAAAAACATATGGGCAAAGATTTATGTGTATTTATAAAGATAGAGGACTTCTAGGCTACATTTAATTTTTTAACCTTTTAATTGCCTAGAACACTTACAAGGACAGTATGAATATATTAAGTCTAGAGATGAGACACGATATATACTTCCTCACCACTGAAACTTTTACCAAATTTTCCTTGAAATAATGAAAAATAAAATTATAGTTAATAGTTTCAGATATGTTTGTTAAGAAACTATCTATGGAGAGGTCTTAAAATGTCTGCCTATTCTTGGTTTCATATTTTTCTCCCCTGTTTTGAATACATACGTCTTTAACTTGCATATTCTCGCCTGCATTTCATCCCAGCTATTTATGCTGCTAAATGGAATCCTGCCTTTCTGCATACATTTACATTCACTTTATTGGGAATTTTAAGAGGTTGCTTGGAAATGAAGAGTCTACGTAATTAATTTATGTAGAACCTTTTTTTTTTCCCTCCAAAGAACTCAACACACTACATTCATATTACTGAATAAACATTTCTGAAAACCAACCAAATTACTTAAGAGATGGAAAAATAGTCATAGAGAAATTCAGAAATTTGCAAAAGCTACAACAGAATTACAATCTACACCAAATCTCATCAATCGGTTGGCTAACTGATGCTCATTTACATTATGCTGCCTACAAAATGGTATTACTCTTGAATTCTGCTTTTGGTCTATATTTCAGTTCTTTTATGCTATTTTGTTCCTGCTGAATTGTATAGACTCGATTAAAAAATAAGTTTACAGTGGCCAGTGCCTGTTTTTCAACATTATCAAAACTAAGCTTTCAAAGATGATTTTCTATTATCCAGATGTCCACAAAATATTAAGCTGAACAATAGCATTAATTAAACACTGATATTTTAAACTTAAATATAAGCTATATTTCATATATATCATAAATACAAAGGAAAATTAAAACTGAAACAGCTTCTCTTTAGAATGCTCATTTGTCTTAGACAACATGTTGGAAAATGGATTAGTCTTATTGGGAATGGACAGTTTAGAAAAAAGATATTTGAAGTGTTTTTATAGAAAAATACATTTTTTCTCACAGGAAATAACCAAAATATTTAAATAACTTGGCTTACATGTGAGGTTAAAAAATAAGATCTAAAATTCCAACATTCTACATATTGACAGTGCAAAGACAGGAACATGCACATGATTTATACCTCTCATTTAAATATTTTGTAGTATAGTGTATTTATGGTAAGTTTGAGATAGATGATTTTTTGGGGGAAGGGCAACAATCTATCAGTTAATCATGTAATTTAATTCCGGTATTATAAGTGGCTACCAATCAATTTTGAATTACAGTTTTGCTATTTTAAAAGAAATGTAGTCTTGTAATCTAAAATAATTGAAAATTGTCAAATGTATATTTTGGTTGTATTATAATAAAACACAAACATTAGTGTTCTATGGTTATAAACAGAATGTTCGTTTGTGTGCAAGTTTTGTTTTCAAACCCTAAACGTGGTAATCAGATTTTTGACATGGAATTGCACTAAATCAAATACCTAAGAAAATATTTCCTGAAAACATTCAGTAAATATGTTTTGCACTTTAAGTATGCAGTAATTTCTCTTATGAAAGAAAGGAATATATGTGTCTCCCCAATCAATACAATTATATAGCTATACTTTATTGTGATCTAAATTTAGACTTTGGCAAACTGACATAAATATTACTATTGCAAGTAACTACTTTTAAGATTTCCAATGATCATCCTATAAGTGAGATCTGAAAGTACTCATCTGTATGTTTAGCTATATGAGCATAATTTATTAAAGAAGTTAGCTGAGGTCTTTGTTTTAGAAAGAAATTTCTTTTAGAGAAAATTATATTTCTTGCCAGTTTGGCATATTCCCGTGAAGGATATTTTATATTTGCAATAGGTAATATATAACAACCCCCCCAACCTGGTTATGAAATAGCTTGTAGAGATATTGTACAGAAGTATGTCAAGTTTTGTGGGTGCTCTGACAATCTTTAAACATGAGAGTTTATAGTAATGTATAATCTTTAAAAGAAAAAATAATTTAATATGGGGCACTCTTAGTAGAACCTTAGTAAGATCATGTCCAAGTCATTACTGTAAATAAAACATAACACAAGATTAATGATGGAGAAAATTCCAATTGTATTTGTTTGAATGTAGAAAAGTACATGAGTAATTCTCAAGACAAAAGAAACAAGACTTTAACATTTAAGTTGAGAATTAAAAGCATCTATAACCACACAATTTATTACCTGCATTAACAATTTTCCTAGCCCAGGGAAGTCTTGCCCAGGAAGATGAAGCTGCAGATAACTTTACTGTTTCTTTCAGAAGATCATATACTTTTCCTTTGTGTGTATATTGGTACAAACATACATCTTGGAGACTGATTTGGCATACCCAATGAAGTTTAAAATGCACATATTCCAAGAACCAGCTTTTCACAATTAAGTGCATACCCTTGAGAACCTTCTCCACATGTGCAATAATAGACATTTTCAAAAATAGTTATTATAGGATTAATTATAATAGAAAAAAGAGAACAATTTGTATGTTCTACAAAAGGAGAATGGATAAATTGAAGTATAGTCGCTAAATGGATACAGAAGTTTAAATGAAACAAAAAAGATCTGTGTGCATCAATATAGAAAAATCTCAGAAACAATGTCAAACGAGTAAAATCAAGGAGTGTAGGAATGCAAACAGAATTATACTGGGTATATCAAGTTTAAAGAAGCAAATGATACTGCTTATGGATAGATAACATTCATATGTAAGTAGTAAACATATAAAAAACACTTCTGGAAAAGTTAAGCACCAAATTCAAATAAATTTTCCTCAAGAAAAAAGAGAATGAGGATATAGGGAGCTACTAGTGTTTTAATAATAATTTATTTTCTTAAAAAACATATCTAAACCCAATGTTATATTTATATCATATTGCATATATTTGTAGGAACTGGTATATTTAAATGTTAATAGTTGACAAAGTTGGGCATTGGATTGCAATTTAAATATATTACTCTCAATACAGTTCTGTGTGCTTCAGATATTTCACAATAAAGTGTAAATTAAGGATCTAAATCTCACAGAACAAATTACTCAATAATAAATTCGAAAGAGAGAGGGAAAGAGAGAATAGCATATAGAAATACTAGATATTCAGCCATCATAATAGATGCAGCCTTCCACTTCCAGTTACTCTTACATTATGTACTTTCCTGGACACCCTGATTATTTTTAAAAAACGTGACAACTAGGACCTTGGTTGGCCTCAGGGACCCTAGGATAATGTCTAGTTTTCAAAGCAACACCTTATTGTTAATGGAAATGCCTAAGGCATCTGGGATATGGAACTATGTGCTTAATATGCCAAAAAGACTCCAAACAGCTGAGTTGGCCTTTCTTGTACTGAACACTATTCAGGGTTGATATTTAAAATATAGAGTTTCTTCTTTCTGGCTTACATATCAAAATTATAAACCGACTTATGCTCTTTAGGTAACTGAAGAAGGAAGAGAAATATTTATAACTTGCAAAATGTCTTTAAATGATCCCACAAATCATTATTTTCTGTAGGAAAGATTTTATATCAATACAATTTGCCCTTTTAATTACTATGGATGCTCTGTTTATGTGTAGAAATGGGCCAAAATGTAGCCCAACATTTTTGCCCTTTGCAAATTCTCAATTTTATTGAGTCCTGTTAGTGAGGGGCTAATGTGTTTAAATATGTATTGCAGGAGTATGGCGGGGGGGGGGGGCATACTCAGAGAGTCTTAATTTAAGTACATAAACTGGAAAAGAAGCAAATGAAACCAATTTACGGGATGGGAAGTTATCATTTAGAATCAGGAAAAGGATTATTTAATGGGCCATATCCCTCTTAGCTTTTAATATATTGAAACAAGTATGATTGGGTAATTATCTTCAATTACTGAATTGTGTTTTAATTGTAGTCCTTTCATACAGGTTATTTTTACTATTGAGAAACAAATAAACAAAACCATAGAATCACCTGTTGTAATTTGTGGTGTTGCTGTAGTTAGTCTTAACAGACATTTG